AAGAGCGACATCATCCTCTCTCTCCTCTCATCTTCCTCTTCTCTTCTCTCTTCTCTCTCTCTCTTTCACTCTCTCTCGGGGGGCTCTTCTCTCTCTCTCTCTCCTCTCACTCTCACTCTCCTCTCTCTCTCACTCTCTCTCTCTCTCTCACTCTCACTCTCACTCTCACTCTCACTCTCTCTCTCTCTCTCTCTCTCTCTCTCTCTCTCTCTCTCCTCTCTCTCTCTCTCTCTCTCTCTCTCTCTCTCTCTCTCTCTCTCTCTCTCTCTCTCTGCATTTGTGTCATTGTGCAAGTACTCAAGTAATATGACCAAGAATCCAGAAACAAAGAGTATGCAACTGTGATCTCTTTTCTATGGGCCAGATGCGCGGTGAGCTGCCTTCATTACAGCATTCAGCTGCAGCCGCACTGCGGAAAATCAAACACCGCACTTTCCCTCTGGTGTGAAATGAACTTCCGTGCGGAAGTGGAGTTCACGCGCCAAAATTTAGAGATCACGTAGGTACTGGAACGAAACGAGAAGAAACGGATGGGCTCGTACGAGAATTTGTGGGTTTGAGTTCATGCTCTCAGAGCATGGTGAAGGCAAATTACATAATGAAAGGCACATAACCGCAGTTGCATACTCTTGTTTATGCGCTCTTGTTATAGCTTTAGGCCCTATCCACACTACAGGTGTGAAAGGTAGTAGCGTCCTCTTTCAAGTGGCGTGCAAGTGCACTTGCATCCACACTCCCAAGAACAGCCGGCGTGAAACGTGACTTTTGAGGAGCGCCCACGGGAATTTCCCCTCATATTCAAAAAATTTTCTCAGAGAGCTCCACATTGATCTAAAAGAGAAATCATCGACTCAGAAATTTGTTCGTGGAGGCTTTATCTTGTTGTTCCTACCTATGTCTCCCTGTTTGTTGCGATCCTGGTTTGTATGCGGCTGGACGACCTGGAGTGCTACATGCGCTGGTAACTGCTGCTGTGGCAGCTGCACTGCCACTGGCCCCTGCAAGCATTGCTTCATCCAGTGCATTATGGTCGGTGTCATCGCCAAAAGACTGGCCCCCATGGTGCATGTTGACGGTGTGTGGTGATGGTGATTGTGCAGGTATCACAGGGGTTGGTGGCGCACTACCACTGGATGGGTTTTCAAGTGGGCTTGAAGAGCTGGCCACTCCAAAACGAAGAGGAGCTGGTCGCTGTAGAGTCTCCACGGCAGTTTCAGTGGGCAGGGCAGCGGAGTTAAGACTCGTGATGGGGCCATATCCTGGCACCAATTTGAATAGTGAGTGCCAGGTCTTGAAATTACCCCAAGCTCTGCAAGCAGTTTCCAGATCTATGTCGGCATCGCCGGAATCTTCGCCTTGGAGCACCAGAGCCGGTAGCGGTGTGGCGGCGATATTTCTTGTACTGCTCCCTGGCCTTGGTACGAAGGTTGTCCAGCTTGTTGTGAACAATCGGCACTGTTATCTCATTCTGAAATTTATCGACATACAGCTCGCGGCCGAATAAATTCAACTTCATGGCAATCTCCTTCTCCTTCACCGACCGCTTTTTCATCGTCCCATTGCTCGCTTTCTGTTCTGCAGCCCACAGCTCAATGAGCTTTCCTTCCAGCTCTTCGCAGAACACAACCCTCGGCATTTTCTCAAGATACTTCAACAAATACTGCAACAACTAGCTACTTCTGAAACCTGGAAAAGCTACTTGAAAGTAAAAAGTGGCCTTGTATCGGGGTTCGGAAGTTCCTGATTACGTTCAAGCAACTTTTTCACTTTCGCGCCGTTTCCCACGGTTCCCCATGACAAATTACAAGGAAAAGCGACTTTGTACGCGGTTTTTGTTGTAGTGTGGTGTGTAGTTTGGATAGGTCCTTAGGAGCCAAATCCACCAACTTTCTTTCTTTTTTTGATATTGAACGGTGGGGCGTCAGCGTAACAACAGCCAACAGCCACCGTGCTCCAAAGATTTTGTGTCCGAAATCTCTTGATGGCGATTCCGAAGAGCATCAGAGTGCCCTCTGCCACTGACGGCAAACACCCTTTTGCTGATGATCTGCCTGAAGAGGTGTTTTATGTAAAGTCTTTGTTCAGTGCTGATCATACCGGTATCCTCTCGCACCACCAAACGTTCACCATTGTGGCCTCTGCCATAATTTTTATGGCAATGTATTTCTCCATTCCGTTCCTACTGCCTTTCGCTCCGTTTTGCGCCCCGGGATGCGTTGCCGTGGAAACGTGTCGAACATGGCCTTCATACATATTCCGTTTCAGGATTGTTTTCCGACTTTCCTGTATGGCGTTTTCTCCCTGTCACTGTCGCCTGCCGTCCCTCCCATTTTCGCTCCAGTATTCGTTGCCATGGTAACGAGTCGAAATAGCGTTGCTACATGTATGTATCACGTTTGAGAATTGTTGTTTCCCTTGCTTTTATGACATTGTTGTCCCCATCACTCTCCTCCTGCCTTTCTCAGCATTTCGGCATGCCGCCAGGCTGTTCCCATGGCAACCTGTCTATGCGTATTTTATTTGAGTTGCTTCTCCCTTTTCTTGTGGTACTGATTTTCTTCATTTCACTCATACACGTGTATACCGTAAAGTACCGTTGATCCCCCCCCCCCCCCTCTCTAATTCCAGCCCCCTGTCGATTTTCTACCTGTGAAGCGACTTCGGCGTATACAACGAAAATACGATGTTGAACCGACGCATGCACTGCTGTACACAAAATTTGCCAATCCAGGATGAAAATGTGCACAATCCAGCACATCGAGTCTGAACTTCTACGTTGTTGTCTATCGTACTGCTCTTGACAGCCTTGATCGACTTCCCGCCCCCTGCCGAAAATCCAGCTGGGAAGCGACATGGCGTGGGGGGGGGGGGGGGGGATCAACGGTACTTTATGGTACATGTATTTATCACTTTCCCTCCATTTTTTGAGACATGAGAATTGTTGCCATGGCAATACACCTACTGTGCATTGTAAAAGAAGGATGCACTGGCGAGATTCGAAGCCAGCACCCCTGTCTTTCCTGGACAGTGCCCGATTAGTAGTAGTGATGCAATTGGATATACACACCTGTGGCCCCTTCTTGCTATTTTTTTCATTTGAGACTTGTCTTTTCTTCTCCCTACAAGATTAGAGAGGTTCCGCACTACGTACAGTTGAGGAGCTTTACGTAAATGGGCGGGAAAAACCCGTGAATTCGCGACTTTGCACTCCACTTACGGAAAGTTTTCGGGGCTCTGATAACGGAAGTCCGCATTAGTGGGTTGGGGTACAAGTTTATGGCTCTCTCGCCAGGTCAACCCGGCCGTACACTGCCGCGTTGCCCAGGGCAACTACATGATTCGGAAAAAAACCCCATGGCGGAACAGAGATCTGCATGCAATGTACAGTGAAACCCGGTAGGAAGAACACTGATGAGAAACTTTCGCTTTGGAAGAATTAGAATGGACCGATTGCCATTTGTACAGATCCACGAAATCCCGTAGAATCCCGTAGACCCGGTAGGGTGTTCATTGTGTGCTATGCATGCGCATTTGACCTTTTTAGCGTCATAATTCAATGACCAGCAATCGCTTTTCCAGCTTCTTCACTTTGGTTAGAACTAATGACTAGCTAGATCTTTGTCAGAAAAGGATTTCGTATGAAATTCCTTCAGGCCCCATTTCTTGGTGGGAATAGCAGAAAACACAATAGGGTCCTGCACATTCAACACCCTTCCGGGTCTACGGGATTCTACGGGATTTCGTGGATCTGTACAAATGGCAATCGGTCTATTCCAAAAGCTCTCTTGGATACACCACTGTGTATTCACTGGGTATACGATATGGATAAGAAGAACTCCCGTTATTGCGAACAAATACCATCGGTCCCTTGGTGTTCGTCCTAAAGAAGTTTGACTGTTCTTTTTAAAAGACTTTCCGTAGATCGACTACGTTTTGTGCTAACGGAATTACTGTATGGCAGGAAATTTTCGGACGGAATTTATTTTCGTACGATTTCGTACACGGCCTCTTTTGTACTAAAATTAATTCCGTACTAAAATTTGTTTTTTCTTCAGACTTTTCCCGTTTGTGTCTTTCCCTCAATCCAGTGAATAAAATTTGTTCATGTGAAATTATGTACACTATACATGCGTACTGCTTGCGAACATGAGCATTTAGCATGCAGCACTGTACGAAAATAGAATCCGTTGAACAGTGCATTGCTGATCCCAGCGTACTCACATGCATTTTTTTAATTTTTACTATGCAGGTGGAATCCTGATAATTCGAATATGGCTTAATTCGAACATACCGCTTGATTAGAAGTTTTTCCAGGACCGATTTCTATCAATACGATTCCCACATAAATTTTTCTGATAATAATAATAATAAACACAGCTCGCATCTTTCCTGAACCTGTTAAACAGGAGCAGAGTCGACGCATCTGTCAACAGTGTCAAGCCAAGTTAGTCTATCTCCTGCAGCTTGGAGAGCGCTCTCAATAATGATTAATAATAATTCAAACCTAAAACAGGACATGTCCGGTTAATTAGAAGTCCCACGGATTCCACTTACATAGAAAATGTGTGGGGTTCGTGCTGATAATTCGAAGTTAGCAAAGTCAAAGTGCAATTCGAAGTTCACTGTACACTGTACTGGTCAGTTCAGTTTGCATGAGCAGGCTGTGCCGGTCAGTTCAGTATCCGTGAAACCTGTGTCTAAGGTCGGACCGTCCATAGCGCCACTCTGCTTGGCCATGAGAGCATTTTGACATACGTATTGTGTTGTGGGTTCATGTTTGGATAATTAGAATGTCCGGATAATTAGAAGATTTTTTCCTGGCATTTTGAGGTTCGAATTATCAGGATTCCACCTGTATTCACATACCCAGCTCGAAAACAACTGGGAAAAACAATGATACTGAGACTAGACTCATGCAATCCGTATTTGGCAATGCGCAATTGGCTTATTGTGGATTGGTTGTGCTTGCACAGGGTGCCCAAGAGAGGCTGCTAGCTCAGACTATGAATGCCTCAGCACAGATCAGGGAACAGCGTAAGGCCATGAAGTCCAACGTGGCCAAGCAACAGCCACCGTTCCAAGTCTGTTCCACGCCCAGCAGGCAGCACACGTATTTCATGGTTAGTGTTCTCCCGCGCGCGCGCGTGTGTGTGTGCGTGTGTGTGATTTGCATATTTGCGGGCTTCTCTTGCGACGGGCGTGTGTATGGTGCATGGTGTGTGTGTGTGTGTGTGTGTGTGTGTGTGTGTGTGTGTGTGTGTGTGTGTGTGTGTGTGTGTAATTGTGTATTGATGTTCTTTTGAAAAATGCCGTAGCAACGCAGGTATTTTGTGAGGGACTTGGTTTCGTAGTTAGTAGCTATGTGTCTGCCCCCCTCCCCCCTGCCCCCCTCCCCCCCCCCCCCTGCCCCCTCCCCCCCCCCCCTCCTGTAGTGTTCTTTTCTGTGGTGTATACGGCAGTGACAAAAAAAAGAAGCTTTGAAAAGGTTTGATTTTGTCTTTGTTCGATCACAAGCTTTTGCGTGCGTGTGCGTGTCCACGTACGTGGTGTGTGTGTGTGTGTGTGTGTGTGTGTGTGTGTGTGTGTGTGTGTGTGTGTGTGTGTGTGTGTGTGTGTGTGTGCATTGCAGGCGTACAACGACGTCGGCGTGATCCGCTGCAAGAGGGAGGACAGCGCCATGAGCATGCTGGACGTGGAGTTCCACGACACCAGCACCTACCACGCCATGCACATCAGCAACACGTCGGACTACGATCTCGCCGCTCTGTCCGAGGAAGCGGTTGCCTTCGCCTGCTCGGCCAGTGGCGAGGGAAAGAAGTAAGATTGATGGGCAGGTGTGTAGCCCACATGGAGCAGGGGGGGGGGGGGGGGGGGGAGAGCACGTGCACCCCCCCCCCCCCCTCTAAAAAAATTCGACCAAGGTTCAGCATGCACATAATGACCATAAATGACATGCACCAGCCATCCTACACATATGCGGCCGTGCACCCTCCCCCCCCCCCCCCCCTCCCCTTAACCCTTTAAGTGCCATAAGTGGTTGACAAGATTTTCCTGTCAAGTGCCACGATCAGCTGAGCAGGAGTACTTTCTGAATGCCACGGTCAGCTGGTTCTCACCCTTCCCTCAGTGCCACGCAGATTTTTGCAATTGTGCTATTTTACAGTTATAAACTTCAGGACGGCAAGTGATGGTGATATATTGCTACTACTCAAAGATAATGTATACATGATATGTTCAGAATATCATCAGCAACATGTTTCAGAGCTCAGCATGCAGAAAAATAGTAATGCCAATGAATGCAGCAGTGTCAAAGTGAAAATAAGTCAGCAAGACGGAAATGCGCACATACAAACTTAGTTTGCAGCAGCGGTACAACGTAGCAAAAACTGCTTGTGGTATGGAGATAGTTGCTAAATTTCACAGCAGTAGCGCAAGGTTATGCACTAGTCCGCGTACCGTACTCTGTAGTCGTGCAGGGTGTGAAAGCGCTGGAAGCATTCACCGGGACACATCATGCGTACGCACTGCACGCACTGCCAGCTAGTTTGCTTCCGGTGGTCCGGTCGTCTGCTGCACACAACGCAGTCTCGCTTCCCTTCAACAGCTAGCTGCGTACAAAAGTGTCGCTCAGTTAGCCGAGCTGTGTCCACATCGTCAGTAGTTGCTGGTACAGATCTGCGACGTGGTTCACCAATCGGCCACTGTGTTTCAGTGAACAGGGAAGCGATGAGCGCCTTGTGGAATTCCTTTCCGTCAAGGTCTTTGCCTGTCATTGCGTTGTAGATTATTTTTGCGTTGTGCACCGAAATTTCCAGCAGCTGATGGAAAAGGATCAGGTACCAACGGCGGTGACGATGCGGGAATGCGTAGTAGCTCAGCATCTGATCCGCCTCGTCCACGCCGCCCATCAAACTGTTGTAGCTGGCGATGCATGATGGCTTTTTCACGGACCGAACTCCTTGAGGCGCACGCCGGTCGCGAATATCTACATCGACAACTTCACAAGAGTGAATCGTCGAGAGAACTGTCACTTGCTTCTTGTCCGGCCAGGAGCATGTGAGAACTGTTTCATCTCTCCAGAATCTCGGCGGCGTGCCCTTCTTTTTCTTGTCCTTACATGCTGGTGGAAGCCCTTTCCGATTGACTCTCACTGTGCCGACAGCTCCCATTCCACGGCGCGACGACAGCCACTGAAATAAGGTAGGTGACGAATAATAATTGTCCATGTACACTACGTGCCCTTGGCCGAGGTGTCGAACCAATTTCGCCACTATCTGACTGCCCTTCGATGTGTCGGCCATGGCTACGTCTCGGCCCTCGGCCATATCCTTGCCGGTGTACAGAGTCCACTCGTATATGTATCCCGTACCCGGCTCCGCAAGGACGAATGCTTTCACGCCCCACTTGGTCGGTTTGGCCGGCATATATTGTTTGAATGATAGGCGACCCTTGTATGCAATCATTTGCTCATCCACAGACACATCCCTCTTAGGGTAGTAGGACAGTCTGAAGCGCTTGACGATTATGTCCAGGAATTTACGAATCTTGGCGAGAGGGTCTCGATACCTGCCGTGCTCGTCATACTCGATGGTTGTGTTATCCACGAAATGAAGGCACGACAGGATCAGTTGGAAACGATTCCTGGACATAACCTTGGCAAATCCGGGTGTCTGGTAGAGCCAGTCCGTCGTCCAATGGTCTGCCAGCGCTGGTTGCTCCACGATGCTCATGGCGAGCAAGAGTACGAAAAACACTTTCATCTCGCGTGACGAGATGTCATGCCACTTGCGCATCCGGGAGCTTGGAAAGTGAGCGCCGAGGGCTTCCAGTTTTCGCTGCGCATACAGATTTGTTTGCGTGACGGCTATGTCCACGGCTTCATCCGTGAACATCATAGCGAAACAGTCTGCCGGCGAGATGTTTTCATCGGCCTGTGCCGTTGGCCCACGTTGGCGAGTTACTCCCGGCAGCCATGCACTCGCATCCGCGGTGTCGTTGTCAGCCGTGACGGTCCGCCAGTTCCACACTCGCGGTTGTTCTTCGTCGTCTTCGTCGCTTCCTTGAAGGTCGCTATCGTCATCTTCGCTACTGCCGACATCGAAGCCTTCGAACTCAGACTCATCAGACTCACCGTCAAAGATTCTGTGGATTTCACCGTCAACTTCCTCCTGTGTCATCTCTACCTCTCGCGCTGCGCCTTGAGTCGCCATTGTCACTCGAAAGTGTTTGAGTTTTGAACGAGCGTTTCTCGCTTTTTATAGATACGAACACCCGGTTTTTTCTATTGAACTAGATACCTCCACCCACGGATAACGCCAGGTCAAAAGCGTGGGACGGAGCTACAGACCTCTGGTACTGTAGGACACGTCCAAAAATACCCCTCCGTCGGGCTCTTCATAGAGCCTTGGCATTCCCACACAGAAGTGTGTCGGACTCTCTACGTCGCCCGTGGCACTGTAAACTAGAAGTACACAGGGCTCATTTCGGCAGCCGTGGCACTTGACAGGTGACAAGCCAGGGGCTCTTTTCGTCGACCGTGGCACTTAGAGGGTTAAAGGGGGACCAGCTACGCTGCTGCCGGGATGCGTATTTGTTCAAGTCACGCTTTTGGGGGCATGCAGGTATTAGTGGACAGTTACAACTGGTGACTTTCTGGCCTGGACTTGGTTGTTGGCGAATGCTTTCCGGTAGGCTTTTCTAGGCTTTCGAATACGATTCAGTTGCAATGCGTGTGTGTTCCTTTGTGTTCCTGTGTGCGTGTGTGCGTGTACGTGTGTGATTTCAGTAAGCTGGAGTGCCGTCACTTCAGTGCCTGGGATGGCGCCAAGGAATGGTCCACCGTCATGAACAAGAAGGAGAGTATCCAGGTAAGTGTGTCAACCATTGCTGCTAGCATGTGTTTTATTGAACGCACAAAGCAACGATGATGTGAATACAAGGAGAGCAAAGAATTCAAAAGATGAACAGCAAATTGATTTAGCAATGAATAAAACTAATTGTGCACTCCTATCCATGTATAAAAAAAATTAAAAAGAAAGAATTCCAGAACATTTTCTTAAAATGGCAATAAATAAGATATATTGTGCACTCATAACAACAGCAAAAATGAAGAAAGTCAAGTTCATTTTTGCTGTTGTTATGAGTGCACAATTTATCTTATTTATTGCCATTTTACGACTATTGTCTCCTCGTCGATTGTTTAAGAACATTTTCTCATGAACATTCTAATTGTTTCATTTTAATTGTTTTATACATGGTTAGGAGTGCACAATTAGTTTTATTCATTGCTATTTTACGACTGTTGTCTCCTCGTCGGTTATTTAGCAAAATTGATTGACAGAGATTATGAGTTGCAACAGTAATGTTTGTACTTGTAAAAGAGAAAGAAAAGAAGAAGAAAAACTCCAAACTGAAATTGCTGCTGCTACTGCTGCTGCTGCCTAGCACGCCATGTGCAGTGTTGCTCAATAACATCCGATGGCAGGAGTCAAAGACAAGCAGACGCCACGTCGTCCTACAGTCCATTTTCAACTACAGTCAGACCTCGCTTAACCGCACACAACCGTTTTCCACAAAAATATCCGGATAGGCAAGGGAACCGGACAATCGAACACACATACTGTATGTATGCATGGCATATGCTGTAAATCGGGAAGTATCCGGATGAAAGAGGACGGGATAAGCGAGGTCTGACTGCACTGTACTTCAGTCAGCCCTTGCACCTCACTCTGTCGACTGTGTCTTTGCACCAGTGGCGTAAGTTTCACATACTGTAAAGCGACAAACTTTCGCGGCGGCTAAATTTAGCGTTTTGCAAAAATGGACCAGTTAGCGGCGATTAATTTTAGCAATTTTTACCTTCCACCGAAAACCTTCAAGAATTTTATTTTACGAAGCCTCGGAGTGCGCACCCCCACTGAAGATTGGGGGTGCGCGTTATACAAAGGTGCGCACTATACTCCGAAAAATACGGTACATGAAGAATGAGAAAAGAAATCAAAGAATGGAACAAGAAGAAGGAATCAAGGTTTCAAAGAGAACCATAAGGTAATTGCTACTACTGGTCTATGTACATGACTGAACACTGTTATTGCTAGTAAGTTGCAGAGATATTACTGCTCATTACTAGAACTACCGCTAGAAATACAGTCCAGAATTCCAGCCTTCCGGTCAGCCCAGCTTTACGCACGCTGCTGCATCCGCTAATTCGGACATGGCAGTGATGAGCCACCTGGCATGCCGTGGCTTGACTGTGGACGCATTCAGATCGACCTTGGCTTTGTCAATTGACACACCATCCTTCAGCGCTGCCTCGACCTCTGCTGCATACCAGTCGGCAAAGAGTGCCTTCATTTTGCCCTTGAATTGGTCATTGAAGGTGAGGTCCAGTGGCTGAAGCTCACCAGTACAGCCAGCCGGAATAAACACCTGGTGGATGTTGTGCTTCTTCAGCTTGTCCAGGACTGAAGTGCAGCGGTGCGAGGCAAATACATCAAAAATCGCCAAGGCAGGTTGCGACCCTGATAGTTTCAGCTTCTGTCGCTGCTGTGCAGCATATGGCACCACGACGTTATCCACAAACTGCAGCATGGTTTCCTCTGTGCTCCAGTGAGAGGGGGAGTGGGTGACATTCCAGTCATCCGGGAAGTTCACCTTTGGGATGACACGCCGGAGTTTTCCCAGCGTAGATGACCTGCGGAGGAAGCAACGCGCCAGCAGCAGATACGCAGACGAGGATGGTGATCTCCCTCTTGTCGTCCTTGCCGACAACGCTGACCTGCTTACTGCCCTGCTCAGCCAATGTCCAGGAGTTGACAGGAACCAGCTTGGTCCCTGTCTGGTCCCAGTTGATGATCAGTTCTGCTGGAATGGTGTGCTCCTGTACAACAGTCTTGATCCACTGATGGAAATTCGATTTCTGCTGGTCGAAGTCTTCAGGGAGCTTCCTAGCCTTCGGAACGAATCAGCCCAGTCCTTGGTGATGTTGACATGTCCACCATTCTCTCTCAGAAGACTTGGCTTCTTGTGCGCAACGATTCCGCGCGCAGCTGCTACAACAATACTCGTGCTGACACAAGCACCAGCGCTACGAAGTGCGCGGATATAGTCCGCCACTTCCGCGTCCAGGTTGCCCAATAAAGTCGGACGTCCTTCATTTCCGTGAGGAAGAGCAGTCATCTGGTTCGGGTCCTTGACATCTTTTAGTGTCGCCAAGTACAACTTCTTACAATTCCGAATTGTGCTCTCGTTGATTTTGTGGCCAGCCTCGTTCGAGAACTTGTCAACCGCTGCCTTGTTACTGAATGCCGCTGCATGCCTGCTCATCTTTGCTCACAAGCTCGTCGGAATAACAATGGTACTTGGAGCGTTTCCGACTTCCAGGAGCTTTGGCCAGTTCCTCCATCACGGATGCATTTGCCGCCGCCGCTGCAGTTCCGCTATCGGCAACAGGGAGAAAGGATGGCGTGTTCGAAGAGGGATCATCGGAAGACTTACTCTTCGAAATGCTGAGCCACTGGGCGATACTCACGGCGATAAAATTCAAAAGACTTCTTCGAGCAGTACTAAAATCTACGCAACAGCAATCTGGCCAAACTCTCCAACAACACTCTCCACAACACTGAGACATTCTCCAGTCGATCGTTGTATTCTCTTCTGGTTCAAGTCGCCGTACTAGCAAGTGTTGTTACGTTCCAAATAATTGCAACAGCTGCGTACTTTGGATGTAGCCGCGCAACCATCAATCAGCGCTGTGAATGTACAGTCAGTGCATGCAGTGCATGTACATTGTGCAGTCAGTGAAAGCAGTGAGTGATACACACGCGCGTACCATGTACTTAGTACAGATCTGTTGCAAAAAGATCAATCATCGCGTACTGCAGTGTACTGTAGTACATACACAAAATTTCATATTCGCGTGTCAAACTTTCGCGATTCGACCCTGCTCGCGAAAATTGCGAAAGTTAATCGCTCGCGAAAGTTTGTCGTTTTACAGTAATTATACGAGTATCTATACCCATGGTGTGCCGATGAGTCCACTAAGGACGACACCTGTCATATAAGAGACGTTCTGCACTTTACGTGAAGTTGAGCAACTTTACGTAGTGGGCGGGAAAAACCCGTGAATTCGCGAGTTTGCACGCGACTTACGGAAAGTTGTCTACGTAGAGTACGTAGATAGGGCTCTGATAACGTAGCTGGTCCGTAAGTGGATTTGGGTACAAATTTATGACTCTCTCCCCAGGTCGATCTGGTCGTACACTGCCGCGTTCGGAGTTGTCAAGGGCAGCTACGTGATTTGAAAACTCCGTATGGCGGAACCCAGATGCGCATGCAGTTTACGTAAAGCTTTCCGTATATCGACTACGTTTTTTACTAACGTAATTACGTTATGCGGAACCTCTCTATTGTCAGCAGGTTACGTACTTGTACTTGCATTCGCTGCATTGTGAATCATTAGCTACTACTGTAATCTTCTGCTTTGCCTCTTCGATAGAACCTCACGGTTGGCTCAAGCTTTGTTGCCGTGGCAACTAGCCGGCAGCTGCTGCGCGTGTGGACGCTGAGTGGAGTGCAGTCGTTCATGGCAACGCTGCCGGGGACGGTCGTAACCATGGCAGCACATCGTGACCTGCTGGCAGTCGCGTACCATCATGGTATTGGTGAGTTTGATATTTCAAAGTTAACGTTCTCTTTCTCTTTGTACAAAAGGCGGATTATAAGTTGCCTCTGGGGAAGATTTCCTCAAGCTGCTATTCAGGCTGTATTTACATGAGAGTTTTCAACCCGGGTGTGGGTTGAGTTCGACCCGGGTCAAATTTCAACCCGCCATGAACACAGATCGAATGGTTCGTCTGCATAATGCAGTGCGCTTGACCCGGGTTGATCAGGAGAGGGTTGAAATCGAGAAATCGTACTACCGTACTTCTGCACGTATTTCGCGCCAGGCTGGCATAGCATTACTGCACAGGCAAATTTCGCACGAAAGTATTCACACGACCACACGGGACTTTAGAAGTGGACTTTTGTCGGCAGATCAGTAATTGCCCCGGGTCAACTCTCTTCATGTAAACTCCGACCTCTTTTTTCCACCGTACTGACTTTCAAGCCAGGTTTAAATTTCTCATGTAAATGCAGCCTCAGTTTGCTGCGATTTGCCATATTATTTACACTGCCCGGGTCAGGTTGGGTACAGCAGGGAACCGTGCAGTGATCTA